TTCTGTTACTTTACTATGGAGTTTAAACATGTCTTTGTCTATGACCAGCTATTCTGCTTAAAACAAGTGCATTGATAATTATGCTGGTAGCTGGTACTCTGTCACTTATTGCGGTTTCTGCAGATGATGATTTAGAAGTGGGCACGTCTACGGTTTGCCTGGAGGACCAGTTAAGATCACTAGGATTTATCAGTGGAAATGATGGTTCTTTATATAGATCAGCTCCTGATCCTGCTTTCTTGAAGGATATAAATCTCGAAGCTAATCTTTCAAATAAAAAGGTTCTTTTCTTACTTAGGGAATATAAATCCTTTTTGTTGTATTGGCCCATAATTTCCATTGTTCCCGTGCTTCACTAATGTTTCCCCGCCTCATTAGATAAGGGATACTATTTTATCTATGGGAGCAAGTGATGCATACAACCTACTCAGAAAGCTTTTGGCCTTGTGGCAGTCAAGGTTCTTTCTTTGTTCTTCTTAATTTTCTTTTGCTAATGTGTATGAAGCTGTTATTTGGCTGGGTTCTTCCTCAGTCTGTTTCTTTGTTTTATTCTCACAAGCATCTAGCAGGTTTAGAGGTGGTAAAACATGCTAGTAGTAATTGGATGTTATATTTTTGAACAGGTCATCTAATGCAAAGCTAGTACTTCCATGGATTAGCAGGATATTGGTCATTCACAGTGATTATGTCCTTTCTCAGGAACCAATGAACGAGCTGCTTTATTCTTTGGGCAAGGTAAAAGGTTCATTCAAGTAAAATTAGCCGATTTTTTTGTTAGTTTGTTCTCTTGTTAAGTGATTTTTGGATAGGCCCGTCAATGATTAAATGCCTTGCTAAAACCTTTTTCCTTCGCTGTTGTTGGCCAATAATACTTGTCTGCTTTTCAGTCCAATGTTTTCATAATTTGATATGCCTCCCTTGTTTGGCCTCTAACCTTTTGCGGCCCTCTCCATATATTGATGAGTCTGCATGTTATCGTTGTGATATTATCTTGTTCTTAGTTTTGTCTTGTTCAGCCTCTATGATGAGTCTCTTGTTTCTGATTGGGAATCATCCCAAGACAAAGCCTTTTCTCCTCGGCCAAAAGGTTAATTAATCAGTTGCATGAAATGATTCCCTGAGAATATTGCAATATAAGCATCTATATGTTAGCTTCCCGAGGTAAGCAAGAGCTCAGTTCATGTTTTTCTTGATCAAAGCTAGCCTATCTCTTGTTTCTTTTTCAAGTACTTTTCTTAGAATAGGTGTTTTGTTTCTTTGAGTTTAGAATCAGTGTGGTCGAGTGTCTTTTCTATTCGAATCAGTGACTATCTCGTCAGAAATTTATTCCACAAGTCTGAACTCAGAACCACAAAATTGGACCCCAAAATCTGGGTTAGGATAAATTTCTACGGTTTCATGTATACATTGTTTTCTATGTACTTCTGTTGAATGCTAAATCAATGTAAGCGACGAGTGTAATTGGGGATGGATCGTTATATACATTTCTTGTGATGTCTAATATGATGAAATTATTTCTAACTCCACACGCTTCTAAGTTAGAGATCTAAGAAAAAAATGGCTGCTGCTGATGCAAACTCGGTTGATAAATATCTTAAATCGCCCTTATATATGTCAATTTCCTTGAATTGTAAAAGTGGTAGGAGGGAAAGGTGTAATTATGGCTCGAGTTCTGAGGAGTTCTGTAATCTCTGGTTCTAGGAAAAATCCTGTCAATCTTTTCTCCAGGTGTAGGTAGCATCAACAATGATATGAAAGAATTGTATTGGTTTCTTTTTTGCTTCATCTAAAATATTTTACTACTCAAGACTCTGTAGAGCTTCACGTTATTTACTATTCTTGGGTTATGGTTGCCTGATGGTATGATTTATATAGTTATGTTTCCCTTGTAGACTGCAAAAGCTAGAGGGGCGGCCATCCAACCATTACTGCAGTTGGTTGGTCGGCTGCAGCTTGTTGTCACTCAGGTTTAGGCCCTTTATATCTTTGCTTTAGATAATTATTTTTGAGCTTTGACAGTCTCTAATTTTGGTAAATGTTGTCTTCCAACAGATTGACAAGGCCACACACAATCAAACTAGAGATTCTCTTCAAGAGCGTCAAGCTGATGAAAGTGATGATGAGGATGAAGACATTGATCACGTCTTTTACGGGGATGAGGATGAATCTGGACAAACTAGCGATGATACAGATGATGAGTAGAAGCTCTAAATTTTAAGAGGTGGTCATTCGTGCTGGTGTTAAATTTGATAAGTCATGTTGCATCTTCATAAACTTTGGATTTTTGGGGTAATTAGTGGGTAGAATAGGTGAAGTGAATGCTGTAAGACTTTTTTCTCTGATTACATTTTCAGGAAAAAGTCTTTTCTTCCACCGCGAGAAGTGAGTTCCATGAAGCATCTTGTATATAGACTATTTTGCTGTTTTGGTTAAGAACCGGTGAAACACGAACAGCTCTAGGTTATATACGCAATTTACTGGAAGTTTTACTGCTGATCGTGATCGAGAGTTTCCATGTGCTAATTATGGCTTTTAATTTTTCATGCTCATTACAAGTAGCTTTGTTCTTCTAAACATCAATTTGAGTTGGGTGTTTTTGCTGCTTGTAGTGTGAAACTTGCTCAAGATGGAGATCCTCTCTTGGGGCAAGTCACTGGTCAAGTTGCAGCTGCCCCTGGAGACTATCATACATATGCTGCCAATTTTGTTCCCTCCCGACCGCGTGTGCTGGTCTCAGGCAATCACCATGACGCCAAAGACCACCACAGGCTGGCCGTTGCGGTAGTGGCCGTCGCCCTCCAGTGGATTATGGCATCTCTATTTATACTTTTCTAAAATTTGTTTTCTTACTTATTCAATCACATTCCCCATCTATCAAACACTCTATAGACTGTTTATATGTATCTGTCCTTGTATCCGGTGTTTTCTCAAACAAAGAATATCACATAAAAAATCCGAAGGACTTCATGTTTGATCCTAACGTATCGACTTTAGTTATTAGCGACCAAATGGAGCATAAAGTAGAACATTGCATTTTACCCTTGACAAATCGACAGAGTACATGTCACATTCTTTAGCTATAATTCCAAAATCTGAGATCTGGAAACTTTAGATGACCGTCATACTGAACTGGGATGCTTTAGATGTCCTCATTTGCATTGCACTGCACGGCAACCTGAAAGCCGTTTTGGCATTTGCTGTATTCTAGATATAAATTAAGGTTCTAAACCTAGTTATGCAGAGTAAATTGAAGCCAAGAGGTCGCCGTTGAGACATTTGATAACATTAAAATGATTTGTCATTTGATCGATTAGCTTTCCGTTGGATAGATAACTCTCGAATGGAGTATTAGAACGGAAAAATCCATCAGATAATGAACTATTGTTTCTAAGCTATAACCGGCGATGAATCAACAATTCGAAATGCTTTCCTTGCGTATTCTTGATAAACCGGCGATTCTATATAAGATGTAGGGGCATCTGTTTGGGAAGTAAGAAGCCCCCTTGACATGTCTTCATTTGCAAAGAATTCTCGATGTGAAAACACATAGTCAATTGGCTGATCTTTGAATAGAAAAAAGAGTGGCTCTGCAAGGTCTCAAATAAATTGACTTATTAAAAAAAAAAAAACATGGAACATGACGGATCGAATTCTAAGTTCATTCCCCAGTAATAACCGCGGTTTGTTCGGGTAAAGAGAAACAACGAAAGGCGAGGAGTGCAAAAGGAGAAACGAAAATGGTTGCCGTATTCTATTTTAAATTATTCCAGTGTTGTCGGTTGATCATATGTTGGATTTTGCAGAGTTTCAATACGGTCCCGATCCAAATTAAGCGCGAATCGCCTGATCTGTGTGTACTTACCAAATCATACGGCCAGAAGCTATGTGTATCGTGAAACTCGAAGGGGCCACCCGCTACTGCAATCACTTTGTCAATCATCGTGCGATCACCGATTGCATCTCGAAGGTGAGTATAAAAGCAAAGGAAGTGAAAGAAGGCCGACAACAATTGGGTACCACATCAATTGGAAGTTTATTCCGACAACACTTCATATTCGGCTAGTATTGCTGGCCCATGGCCTGGCTATGGAACAAGGGCTTGCGAAGTTAAACTGCGAACCATGCGTGTGGCCCAAATAGCCTATCTTACTCCCAGACAAGAGCAGCAACTTTTTTCGCAAAACCAATCTTTTTCAAACTCCCCGAAATAACCTATCTTATTCCCAGACAAGAGCAGCAACTTTTTTCGCAAAACCAATCTTTTTCAAACTCCCCGAAAACCCTAACCCGAGAAAATATTCAGTGAGTTCATGCACGCGACGCAGACTCTCTCCCCTCTGGCGAACAAGCAACCCAACCTAGCCGCGTTCTCTATCTCCGTCTCCGTCTCCCTCTCTCTCTCTCCTCTTTCACGTTTGAATGCCTAGTATTTTCTTTTCAGTTTGGAGTCTCTTCCTTCCTCCCCAGAAAGCTTCCCTCTCCCTCTCTCTCCTCGTCGGGCTCCAGAAACTGCCGTTGAGCTTTGGGGTTCCGGCGAAAAGCGGAAGGCCGGTCACAGCGGCTGGGTCCCGAGCCGCATCCGCCTCCGCCTCGTTGCCTCCGCATTGGGACTCTCTCTCTCTCTCTCTCTCTCTCATTTGCATGTCCTTCCTCTGGCCCCGGTAACGGCCGCGAGGGAGGGTCGTCTTCCACCTCCCCTCCTCCTCTTCATCCCCCGAAAAGAGAAGACTTTGGATGAGCCACCCAAAAATCCATTCGTAGACATTTCAATTTGTCAGTTTTGGTTTAATCCGGCAAAGAAAGTTTCGATTTCTTACACAACAGCGGCACGTGACGAGGCGTGCACAAACCACTTAATATTTTCTCAAACCGAAAACCAATCTTCTTATTCAAACACTCCCCGGAAACCAAACACCAATGTTCTTATTCTAACTCCCCGAAAACCAATCCTCTCTAAAAAGACAGCAGCACTCGACAACCAACGCATTGACATGCTTGGTCTAGTCATGAGGGTTTGCCACGAGATAAGCCTCGATGGCCTTGACCATCGCGCACGCCTTCTCCTTCCCGGCCTTGATCTTCTCCTCCTTGTTGTCCACTTCGCCGACGGTGTAGTACACGCTCATGTTCTTGCACACCGAGCCTCCCTCGGGCGACGCGGTGATCTTCACCTCGTGGCTCATGTTCTCGTAGGTGTTGGCCAGCTCGTCGCCCTCGACGATCGAGCAGCTGTAGATGAAGTTCTCCTTGTCCGGGGCGTCAACCTTTTGCTCCACTGTCTTGTACTGACTGCCTATGAAAGTAACAAAAGTAACACTCACATTTAGAACTCGCGGGTTTCAACATCACGAGCACTGATCTTAGTGTTGTCGACCAGGCCATTTAGGAATCAAAACCCAAGTATAACCGTAATGCAACATGATTGACATGCGCGACGTTGATGGTAAGGAACATTTCAATTTGACTAAGTTATGTTTCTAACCTTCGCTGGAAGTTTCCTCCTCGAGGACTGCAGCGCTCTTGATGACTGGCAGGAGGTCCTTGGGGAGGAGGTTACCGGCTTCGACAAGGGCCTCGACCACCTTGGCTGGAGGGATCGAGAACGTGATCTCGGTCTTGTAAGTAACGAGTCCCATTTTGATTGAATCCGAATAGAAATTTTGCTGCAACTGAAAAGGGGGATAGTCTGGAAACAAAGGCAGCAGTGAAGAAAAGATACTCGGAATAGAGGCAAAGTAAAAGCTATATATAGAGAGAGGATTGGAAACAGCGGTCAACACACGAACTGGTTAGGCAAAGCGAAAACAGCCAAAAACCACAAGAAAAAAACCCTAACCTTACGTAGCCATCAGCCAACATCAAGAAGAAGCGAAAGTTGACATCAAAGGAAAAACAGCCAAAACCCTAACCTTACGTAGCCATCAGCCAACATCAAGAAGAAGCGAAAGGTGACATCAAAGGAAAAACAGCCAAAACCACAAGAAAAAGAACCCCAGCATCACGTGCATGGCCATCAACCTAATAAGATGCTAAAGGTAACATCAAACCTTAAAAAGCCAAAAACGCCCAAGAAAAACATAACCCCAACATCCCTACGTAGCCATCAACTAAAACCAAGAAGAAGCGAAAGGAAACATCAAAGCGAAAAAGCCACAATGAAGAAAGTGCCAAAGGTAACATCAAACCTAAAAAAGCGAAAAACCCCAAGAAAAAGAAGATTTTCTAAAGCGAAGGCCTCAGGAAAGTGCGACTTGCCATTCAGCATGCAAAAGACATACTCACTTAGGGTGCGTTCGCTCACATTTCTTGAAAAATAATTATTTGTATTGTTCAGAAAAATTAGGCAACGGAAATTTAGGGTGCCTAACTATTTTCGTGAGTGATGAAAAAATTTTCTTTTTGTAAACGATACAAGCAATTACTTTTCAAAAAATATTCTTCAAATTATTCATTTTCCGAGAAACGAACGCATCCTTATTTCCTAATAATATCATTATCGTAGAAAATCTTAGGCCCCTAATGCATTAAGTAGAAAACTCGGTGTGATTGGCCTCAAATTTTAGATGGAACCAAAAAAAAAAAAAAAAAAAAAAAAGCAATGCACGATTGTTGAATTGGGCGATTTGTGTACTTGATGTTTGTGTTGTGCTTCCATAGATAAGAAAGGAACTACCGATCGTTCTCAAGTTTGCACTATAATTCAGTTGAAAAAAAAATATATGAGGTGCAGTTTACATAAAACGTCGCTCTAAAAGCCAAGAACGGACGACCGGAAATGTTCATATTTCCCCTTGCTTTCATAGGTCTAGTCCTTTTAGATAATAACAGCACTGCGAAGCGACGTAGTTGGTTAGAAATGCTTTCTTCTTAACTAAATTAAAGACCATGCAATCGATCGCGTACTAGATGATACATAGTCGGGTCGAAAGAGCATCCACGCATGATAGTTGCATATAGTCCCGGCTTTGCGTCCTTTTCTTGCCCAAGAAAAATAAGGGGAAATGAGAGTGAACAAGTGGAGGATTTCGGTGGACAACAGTGGATGCCAATGAATTTTGGTATTTCCTCTTGCTTTCATAGGTGAAGCCTTTCAATCACTATCATAGTCTGATTGACACGGCCTTTTCACAATAGTATCATATGTGAAAAAGAATGCTTTCTTTTATTACAACAAGAGTTAATGAGACGTGATTAAAATGAGCGAAGAAAGCGAACACAAGAGGCTACGTTTGGCCGAGAAGATATTAGGTGGTGGAGACCCGTCAGCGGGTGGGTCGCACCGGGGCCCGTGAAATTTATCAGAAACCCTCGACTCTCCCTGGACATGCGTTCACACGGAATTGTGTATTAATTAGATTTGATCGTGTAGATTACCAAGTGGCAATGTCGTCATAACATCCTGCCCATGGTCTAATTCGACAAGTCCGAAGTCAAGCGTCTCGCCCTCCCGAAATCTCCGAAGAAAGCCGAGGCTCGAATGATATGTACCATCTCGTAGACTATTGTCATCCCCAATAATTAAAAAAATAAAAGAAACTCTTATTAAAATTGCGTACGTGAGCTTTCCTTCTAAGCAGGACTAGTCCACCTAAAGTTATAACATGCCGCGAAATTGACTTCTCATAACAAAACTAAAATTAAATTAATAAAAAAAAACAATTGGAAGCACCCGCATGGCATTAGAGATAATTGATTTCAGGGCAGGTCAATTCTCACCCAAATCGCAAATCGTACCGGACAGGTCGGATTCTCAATGACCCACCTTGGGACTGAAAACAAGACCGGACATAGGCGATTCCCAGTTTATGGAACCGGGAACCGACCATGTCCACTCTAGGACTGGACTGGCCAGTCTCGATCTGGTTCCTAGGACAACTCGAGAACTAGTGTTGTTATTTTTATTTTTGGGGGTTTATGCTTTAAAAAATTTTTAAAAAATGAAACAAACTAACAAGAAACCATGAATATACTTCTCGGTCAATATGTTGTCTTCAATTTTTTTTTATGGTTTTTGCTATAAAAGTATATATATACTCTGGATCAATTTCGCTGATTTGGTCCAGTCAATACGATTCCTCCACAGGAGCAGGGAATCCAATCAATTCATGTGGGAATCATCCAAAATCGGCTAGTTCGATCTGATTTTCAGGTTAGATCGGGATCGATGTACATCCCTATACCGTACGGTCTCTCTTGACTCTCGACGTGTCGATCAATTCATTGAGAAAGAGAGGGAGAGATGTTCAATCATTTATTTCATTCTCGCATCAATAACTCAGAAGCAGGACAATTTTGATTTTCATCCAATGAAGAGTGGCGGAGAAAAGCTGAGATGCCGGATGGGGGGCAAGGGCATCGACTGACACGTGCTGATTTTGTGTCCTCCCTTCTTTTCGGATACCTGCGAAGAACATGAACTCCCCACCAAATGGTATAAAAAGACGTAGGGGGCAACCTTCCTCCCCCCTTAGTCTTCTTCTTCATTCGTGTGACCCACAAAGTTATAGAAATGTTTCATATGTCTATGGTACTCACAGCCTTGTCCACAAAGATAGTGTTTACCCCCTCTTTTCTTGACCATATTCGACATCACTAAAGCAATACCATTTTGAATACATTTGCATCAGCAACGATTTTTCTTTACCAAAACTTTGTCGCATCACAGGTACTTCACTAGCAAACATTTCGGTATGCTGGGGATATGACGCCTGTTAGTGATCATTTTGACGTCGTAGGCGATTTTGAATCGGCTCTGCTCGCCGTCCACTGTTCCTGGTGAAGACGAGATAGATTTCTTGGATGGTACAAGGTTGCGAAGCCAAAAAAAAAAAAAGCAATAGAGAGGGATGGGGGGAATGAAAAGAAAATGAAAGACAGAGACAAGAAAAATCGGAACGAAACAATTACCATCACCGGATGTCTTAAAGTTCGTCGAGAAAATGCAATCGAATTCTAAAACTTTTATAAAATGCGATCAAGTCCTAAAATTTGTCGAATTGATAGTGCAAAAAAGCCCCCAATCAGCTAACGAAAAGGACTTTATTGCACAAATTCGACCAATTTCAAGATTTGATTATACTTTTTGAAAGTTGTAGAACCCGTTCGCATTTTCGACAATTTAAGAGGAAATGATTTGACTTTGTTTGTTCTGCAAATACTGACCCAAATTCGAATTCTCTTTTTACAAAATGCCCAAAAAAAGAAAGAGTTAATACCATGCAAAATCCTAAACTGATACATATGTGATAAATTTACTAAAAAATAACTTTTGACCACAAAAAATCACAAACTGGTATATCTGTGACAAATTTACCCTCCGTTAATTTCCGTTAAATTTTACTGTTAAATTGTTTTGTTAAATGACACGCGACAATTGACGGATGTACTAGTTTTGGGTTTTATGTACTAGTTTGATTTTTTTTTAGATATCAATCCAATTTAAAGGAAACTAACGAAGAGTAAATTTGTCACAAATGTACCAGTTTGGGATTTTTGATAGTCAAAAAATTAGTTTTGAGTAAATTTGTCACGGGTATATTAGTTTTGAATTTTTTGTGGTCAAAAAATTAGTTTTATGTAAATTTATCATAAGTGTATTAATTTGAAATTTTTTGTGATATTAATAAAAAAAAAAAAGAAAACAGAAAAGAGAAATTGTACTATCGTGCATAGCGATAATGATATGTACCCAAGAACGGATGGGGTGGCTATTTCTCGTAGACTATTGTCATCCCCAGTAATTAAAAGTAATTAGGGCACTCGATCGAACACGACATCGTTTTATTGTAACCTCCTAGCTCCATTAACCGCAATCAACGCCCAAACGTTAAGTCTCATCGAAACCATCGATGAAAAAATTAACCATTTATTTTTCTTTTCTCTCTGACAGATCACATGCAGGATTTTCCCTTTCCTCTGACCTCCTTGAAACCTCCTTACGCCACACGCAAAAAGCAAACAAATAAATAAATATTAATAAGCCCCTTTCTTTTACGAAGTCCAATCCTTGGTAGGTCAAATCGATCAAACTTGAACTACTTGGATATGTCTTCGAGAAATTCAAACCCTGAATATGACGTCATCGTATAGCCTCCAAAATTTAATCTTATAATCCAAATAAGAAAGTGAATCCCGTGACTTTTCACGTGAGCTTAAACTCGAAATATAATTTAACACAATATTAAAGTTCTAAACCTAGTGATGCAGAGTAAACTGAAGTCAAGAGGTCGCCGTTGAGACATTCGATAACATTAAAATGATTTGTCATTTAATCGAATAGCCTTATGTTAGATGGATAACTCTCGAATGGAGTATTAGAACGGAAAAATCCATTAGATAATGAACTATTGTTTCTAAGCCATATCCGGCGATGAATCAACAATTCGAAATGCTTTCCTTGCGTATTCTTGATAAACCGGCGATTCTATACAAGATGTAGGGGCATCTGTTTGGGAAGTAAGAAGCCCCCTTGACATGTCTTCATTTGCAAAGAATTCTCGATGTAAAAACACAGAGCCAATTGGCTGATCTTTAAATAGAAAAAAGAGTGGTTCTGCAGGGTCCCAAATAAATTGACTTATTCGAAAAAGACGTGATATAACGAGAAAACGCTAATGGATCTTGCAATTAAATCAATGCGAAATCACCAGAGAAATAAACAAAGAACAATAAAGGACACCGAATATTTTACGTGGTTCGGTCCAAATACCGAAACCTATATCCACAGGGAAAGTCAGCAGCAGATAATCTATTAATTAATCGGAGAATTACATAATTTCAATCGCTCACACGCTTGAGTATTTTTCATACTTAGATTTAAGCCCAAAGCGAATCTATAAGTATTATCTCACGATCTCTCGTAAAGAATACACTTGGCAAAACTCACGTAGAGAAAAGAATTCGATAATATTAATGTTTGCTTTTACGTATGCTGAACCAAGAACGGTCTAATGTTCTTTTTGTGTTTCGTACGCGGCTCCTTCGTGTGCGTTCCTGCTCGTGAAGTAGCCTAGAAAAGAGAAAACCCCTTTTTATTTTCTTTTCACTTGCGCGGATACAGTCAGGGAGAGATCCACGCCTTTTTTCTACGCAGTCAACATACCAAAACACTTCCAAAAAAAAAAATACCAAAAAAAAAAAAAATCTACGCAATCAACGAATCTAATCTTGACTGGGACCTAACGTTGGGAAAACCCAAAAGCAAAAACTTGCCTTGATTTTATTTCCTGTTATCACTTCCCAGGGCCCATCATGCACCCCTTCATTTAATTCACCCAGAAGAAGTTCCAGTGCTGCAAATAAATCCTCCAATGGCGCTTTATCATGTACACATATTCAAATTTGAGACATAATATAACAAAAGAAAACATGGAACATGACCGATCGAATTCTAAGTTCATTCCCCAGTAATAACTGCGGTTTGTTCGGGTAAGAGAAACAACAAAAGGCGAGGAGTGCAAAAGGAGAAACGAAAGCGGTTGCCGTATTCGATTTTAAATTATTCCAGTGTTGTTGGTCGATCATATTTTGGGTTTTGCAGAGTTTCAATACGGTCCCGATCCAAATTAAGTGCAGATCGCCTGATCTGAGAAGCTATGTGGTGGACCGGGGAACTGGAGGAGGCTACCCGCTAGTACAATCACTTTGTCAATCATCGTGCGATCGCTGATTGCATCTCGAAGGTGAGTATAAAAGCAAAGGAAGTGAAAGAAGGCCGGCAACAATTGGGAACCACATCGATTGAAAGTTTATTCCGGCAACACTGCATATTGGGTTAGTATTGCTTGCCTTTTGCCGGGCTATGGAACAAGGGCTTGCGAACCATGCGTGTGGCCGAAATAACAAATCTTATTCCCAGACGACAGTGATCGATAAAAGACGAGCAGTGTAGCAAATCCCAAACTCTCCCTCTAATCCTAGTACCCAGAAAAGACAGACGACAGTGATTGATAAAAGACGAGCAGTGTAGCAAATCCCAAACTCTCCCTCTAAACTCTCCCTCTCTTTTTTTGGACCAAAAACAGAAAACTCCAGACACGAAAACTCCCACTCTCGAAAAAGACTTTTTTCTCTCCTCAAAACTCCCTTACTCGACAACGAACGCTCGAGAAAGACGACAGTGACATGCTTGGTCTAGTCATGAGGGTTTCCCACGAGATAAGCCTCGATGGTCTTGACCATCCCGAACGCCCTCTCTTTCCAGGCCTTGATCTTCTCCTCCGTGTTGTCCACTTCGCCGTCGGTAAAGTATACGCTTGTGTTCTTGCACACCGACCCTCCCTCGGGGGACGCGGTGATCTTCACCTCGTGGCTCATCTTCTCGTAGGTGTTGGCCAGCTTGTCGCCCTCGACAATGGAGCAGCAGTAGATGAAGTTCTCCTCGTCGGGCGCCTCAACCTTGTGCTTCACTGTCTTGTACCGACTGCCTATAGGAAGGTAACATTCACATTTAGAACTCGCCAGTTTCAACATCATGACCACTGATCTTAGTGTTGCCGGTCATGCCATTTAGGAATCAAACCAAATTATAACCGTAATGCAACATGATTGACATGTGCGACGCTAATGGTAAGGAACATTTCTAACCTTCGCTGGAAGTTTCCTCCTCGACGACTTCGGTCCTCTTGATGACTGGCAGGAGGACCTTGGGGATGAGGTTATTGGCTTCGACAAGGGCCTCGACCACCTGGGCTGGAGGGATCGACAATGTGATCTCGGTCTCATGAGTTACGAGTCCCATTTGATTGAATCCCGAATAGAATTTTGCTGACACTTTTTATTTGCTGAAACTGAGAAGGGGATAGAATCCCGGAAAGCAAGGCGACAGCAGTGCAGAGCAGAAGCTCGAGTAGAGGCGAAGTAAATAATAGCTGATATATATGGAGAGATGGGAAGGGCGAGCAACAGCAGATGAATTGAATTCTCTGGTCACCTGGTTCGAAAGTCAAAGCGGAAGAATTCCAACCTAACTGTAAAGGCATTCTGTCCAAATACACAAATTCCTAAAAGCACACAAATTCCTAAAAGCATTCTGTCCAAAAACACAATTTCATAAAGGACATAACATGAACAGCGACCACACGCCACCCGAGAAACAAATTCTCACTCAATCCGTACTTAAAATATTGCTCAAAGAGGTTAAAAACATGGGAACCTAACTGTAGGTATGCTTCGGTTCGGATGCGAAGGTAGCCATCTTGAAGGTTGGCGGAGGCATCGGGAAGTGCTATTAGAGGTTTTAGTATGCGAAAGTAGCATTCGCTTATTTCTACATAGTTTCGTTATCGTAGAAAATCTCAAGCCACCGATGCATCAGGTAGAAAAATTCGATGTGTTGTGCTTCCATAGATAAAAGAAAAGAAGTGTCGATCGTTCTCAATTTTGCACTATAATTTAGTTGGAAAAAAATATGAGATGTAGTGCGCAAAAATGCTGCTTTAAAAGCCAAGAATAGACGTCCGGAAATGTTCATATTTCCCCTTGCTTTCATAAGCCGGGTCCTTTTAGATAATAACATCGCTCTGAAGCGACCTAGATTGTTGGAAATGCTTTCTTTTGTTATCTAAATTAAAGACCATGCGATCGTGTCCTAGATGATACGTAGTTGGGTCCAAAGATTATCCACACGTAGGAATTGCATATGCCGTGGGAGAAGAGCATCAAAGAAGGATATCTAATGCGCGTCTCGCCCGTTTGATCTCGCATAAGAAAAGGGCAAGCGGTGAAGATCAAGAACGATCAAGAACGGAATAGCAACCGAGAATTAAAGTGGGATTAGGTGAGATGGGGGCATAAGAAAAGAAGGCACCGCATGGAGGGAACCGTAGCCCTGGCTTTTCGCCATTTTCTTACCCAAGAAAATAAAGGGAAAAGGAGAGTGGAAAAGCCGAGGATTTGGGTGGACAACAGTGGTTGTCAAATGAATTTTGGTATTTCCTCTTGCTTTCGTGTGAAAAGGAATGCTGCAATATGTATGAGATATTCGACCGGCATCTCATCAACTACAACCCGCAGCATGTGGACCGCTTCAACGGTTGCCTCGCCCACTTCAACTAGTTACGGTTCAATCACAATTTTTATTATCCTTAAAGAGGCGCAAGAACATAAGAATAAACCTGGTCGGAGATTGAAAGATTGAGCCAACACGCAACTACTCAGTTTTAAGCATCAGGGTCTTCCAAGAGATGGGCTTCGATGGCTTTGAACATTCCCATCGCCTTCTCTTCGCCGGCCTTGATCTGCTCCTCCTTGATCTCGACACCGTCCTTGGCATAGTACTTGCTCGCGCTCTTGCCCCACGCGCCCTCTGTCCGGACCCACCTCGAACTTGCTCTCGTCCGAGATCTTCTCTAGCTCATCGGTGCGTTGCCCTCAACGATAGTGCATGCAGTACGCGCGCTTTCCTTGTCCAGCTCGTCAACCCGGTGCTTCACCGAGTTGAACTAGCTAGCTGCAACAGAGAGAGAGAGAGAGAGAGAGAGAGAGAGAGAGAGAGAGAGAGAGAGAGAGAGAGAGAAAAGAATTTGCTTATGAGTTCTAATGAATTCACCCAATCAAACATGACACTGTTCTATTAGAACCTCCTAGCTCCGTAAACCGCAATCAACTCCTAAAGGTTAGTCTTATCAAAACTGTGGGTGAATGTCTTGGCGTTACATGTTAATGCGACGCGGTTAAAATGAGCGAAGAAGCGAACTCACACAAGAGACTACGTTTGGCCGAGAAGATACTAGGCGGTGAACACAAGAGACTTCTAATATGTTATGGCCGGATCTTATAACGACATTGCCTCGGCTTTGATCGTGTAGATTACCAAGAGGCAATGTCGTCATAAGATAACCAAGAGGCAATGTCCCGTCCACTGGTCCAGTTCGACAAGTCCGAAGTCAAGCGTCTCGCCCTCCCGAAATCTCCGAAGAAAACCGAGGCTCGAATGATATGTACCATTTCGTAGGCTATTTGTCATCCCCAATAATTAAAAAAAATAAAAGAAACTCTTGTTAAAATTGCGTACGTGAGCTTTCCTTCTAAGCAGGACTAGTCCACCTAAAGTTACAACATGCCGCGAAATTGACTTCTCATAAGAAAACTAAAATTAAATTAAAAAAAAACAATTGGAACTACCCGCATGGCATGAGAGATAATCAGTTTCAGGGTGGGTCGATTCTCACCCAAATCGCAAATCGAATCGGACAGGTCGGATTCTCAATGAGCCACCCTGGGACTGAAAACAAGACCGGACATGGGCGATTCCCAGTTTATGGAACCGGGAACCAACCATGTCCACTCTAGGACTGGACTGGCCGGTCTCGATCTGGTTCCTAGGACAACTCGAGAACTGGCATTGTTATTTTTATTTTTGGGGGTTTATGCTTTAAAAATTTTTTTAAAAATGAAACAAACTAACAAGGAACCATGAATATACTTCTCGGTCAATACGTTGTCTTCAAATTTTTTTTTTTATGGTTTTTGCTATAAAAGTATATATATACTCTGGATCAATTCCGCTGATTTGGTCCAGTCAATACGATTCCTCCACAGGAGCGGGGAATCCGATCAATTCATGTGGGAATCATCCAAAACCGGCCAATCCGATCTGATTTTCAGGTTAGATCGGGATCGATGTACATCCCTATACCCCTATACCGTACGGTCTCTCTTGACTCTCGACATGTCGATCAATTCATTGAGAAAGACAGGGAGAGAACAATCATTTATTTCATTCTCGCATCAATAACTCAGAAGCAGTACAAATTTGATTTTCATCCAATGAAGAGATACGGAGAAAAGCTGAGATGCCGGATGGGGGGCAAGGGCATCGACTGACACGTGCTGATTTTTGTGTCCTCCCTTCTTTTCGGATACCTGCGAAGAACATGAACTCCCCACCAAATGGTATAAAAAGACGTAGGGGGCAACCTTCCTCCCCCCTTAGTCTTCTTCTTCATTCGTGTGGCCCATCGCCTTACCCCAAAGTTATAGAAATATTTCATATGTCTATGGTACTCACAGCCTTCTCCACAAAGATAGTGTTTACCCCCACCCCCTCTTTTCTTGACCATATTCGACATCACTAAAGCAATACCATTTTGAATACATTTGCATCAGCAACGATTTTTCTTTACCAAAACTTTGTCGCATCACAGGTACTTCACTAGCAAACGTTTCGGTATGCTGGGGATATGACGCCCGTTAGTGATCATTTTGACGTCGTAGGCGATTTTGAATCAGCTCTGCTCGCCGTCCACTGTTCCTGGTGAAGACGAGACAGATTTCTTGGATGGTACAAGGTTGCGAAGCCAAAAAAAAAAAAGCAATAGAGAGGGATGGGGGGAATGAAAAGAAAATGAAAAGCAGAGACAAGAAAAATCGGAACGAAACAATTACCATCACCGGATGTCTTAAAGTTCGTCGAGAAAATGCAATCGAATTCTAAAACTTTTAGAAAATACGATCAAGTCCTAAAATTTGTCGAATTGGTAATGCAATAAAGCCCCCAATCAGCTAACGAAAAGGACTTTATTGCACAAATTCGACAAATTTCAAGATTTGATTATACTTTTTGAAAGTTGTAGAACCCGTTCGCATTTTCGACAATTTTAGGAGGAAATGATTTGACTTTGTTTGTTCTGCAAATACTGACCCAAATTCGAATTCTCTTTTTACAAAATGCCCAAAAAAAGAAAGAGTTAATACCATGCAAAATCCTAAGCTGATACATATGTGATAAATTTACCCAAAAATAACTTTTTGACCACAAAAAATCCCAAACTGGTATATCTATAACAAATTTACCCTCCGTTAGTTTCTATTAAATTTTACTGTTAAATTGTTTTGTTAAATGATACGAGACAATTGACGAATGCACTAGTTTTGAGTTTTATGTACTAGTTTGATTTTTTTTTTTAGGTATTAATCCAATTTAAAGGAAACTAACGAAGAGTAAATTTGTCACAAATGTACCAGTTTGGGGTTTTTGGTAGTCAAAAAATTAGTTTTGAGTAAATTGTCACAGGTATATTAGTTTGGGGTTTTTTATGGTCAAAAAATTAGTTTTAGGTGAATTTATCACAAGTGTATTAGTTTGAAATTTTTCGTGGTATTAATAAAAAAAAAGAAGAAAAAGAGAAAAGAGAAATTGTACTATCGTGCATAATGATAATGATATGTACCGAAGAACAGATGGGGTGGCTATTTCTCGTAGACTATTGTCATCCCCAGTAATTAAAAGTAATTAGGGCACTCGATCGAACACGACATCGTTTTATTGTAACCTCCTAGCTCCATTAACCGCAATCAACGCCCAAACGTTAAGGGCGCGAATGGTAACCATTCTGCTCCAGAAATCAAATTCTTGCCAGAAATTAATTTCCGAAATTCTTGCCAGAAATTAATTTTTGGAGGAGAAATCCGTTTGATAAAACATGATTAATTCTGCTCCAGAAATTGATTTCTGGAACAGAAATCTATTTTTATTTTTTTTATATTTTTGGACACCTCAAAAAAAATAAATTTCACTCAAAGTGGGTGCCCAAAGGTATTCTAAGCCATTTTGTGAAGTTTTGAAATTTTTGATTTTTTGATTTTTTTGGTAACCTCAAAAAAATAAATTTCACTCAAAGTGTGTGCCCAAAGGTATTCTAAGCCATTTTGTGAAGTTTTAAAATTTTTGATTTTTTAATTTTTTTGGGCACCTCAAAAAAATTAAATTTCACTCAAAGTAGGTGCCCAAAGGTATTCTAAGCCATTTTGTGAAGTTTTGAAATTTTTGATTTTTTGAGCATCTAAAAAAAATTAAATTTCACTCAAAGTGGGTGCTCAAAGATATTTTAAGTCATTTTGTGAAGTTTTGAAATTTTTGATTTTTTTATATTTTTTGAAAAAAATTCACCAAATTTCATATTTTCTCGAAATCTGACTTTTTTTTATTTTCTGGAAATTTTTATGAATTTTCTGGAATTTTTCAATTTTTATGCATTTTCTGAAAAAAAAAATTAGTGAGAAAAAGAGAGAAAATAGGGAGAATGCATTCTGGAAGAGAGAAGCTAAAAAAAGTAGCTTCTCTTTTTCTTGCCCAAAACTCGTTCTGGAATAAAAAATACATTCTGGAATCAAGAATGCATTCTAGAATCAAGTATTTTTAACAAACACATTTTTATTCTAGAATGCAAAAATTGCTCTAGAATGCATTTCGGAAATTTTTTAACAAACGCATTTCTGTTCTGGAATACATTCTGGAGCAGAATTTCTACTCCATAATAGATTTCATGCGCGCCCTAAGTCTTATCGAAACCATCGATGAAAAAATTAACCATTTATTTTTCTTTTCTCTCTGACAAAAGCCACGGCCCCACAATTTCGTGGGTCTTTACATGCAGGATTCTCCCTTTCCTCTTTCCTCCTTGAAACCTCTTTTCGCCACACGCCAAAAACAAACAAATAAATAAATATTAATAAGCCCCTTTCTTTTACGAAGTCCAATTCTTGGTAGGTCAAATCGATCAAACTTGAACTACTTGGATATGTCTTCGAGAAATTCAAACCCTGAATATTACGTCATCGTATAGCCTCCAAAATTTAATCTTATAATCCAAATAAGAAAGTGAATTTCCCGTGACTTTTCACATGGGCTAAAACTCGAAAATTAATTTAACGCAATATTCTAATGTGACGTGAATTGAAATGAGCGAAGCAAGTGAAATTAGGATGAGCGCGAGCACTCGCCTTCACCAATGGTGCTGGGACCAAAGGTGGGAATATATCTCTGGCAATTTTCACAATTTTTTTTAATAAAAAAATATGATTTTTTTTTCTTTATTTTGTCCTCTCTTTTCTCTTTTTGTTTCTGTATTTTCTTTTTCCTTCTAAGTCCAGCAAAGGTCGCCGGCTGACGCTCGCCGACCACAGGATCGCTATCTTCCGACGGATTGACAGTCTCTAATTTTGGTGAATGTTGTCTTCCAACAGATTGACAAGCCCACACCATGCTCGCTTGGGGCAAGTCTCTGGTCAGGTTGCAGCTGCCAATTTATACTTTCCTGAAAATTGTTTCTTTAATTATACAATCATCTCTATAGGCCTGTTTATCTGTATCTGTCCTCGTTTCTTTTTTTTTTCTTTTTTTTGGGATCGAAAACACTGCCAAACACTCTCATTAAGAAAGAAGTCCGAGGGTACAAGGCATTGGCTTCAGAACAAAGCAATTCCAAAAGGGTAAGAGGAGGATAAGAGACTTGTTGCAGCAGTGGGCTTTGACGACCCAATCCGCAAGCTTGTTACAATCTCTATTGCAATGGGCTAACTTCAGGCAAAGGAAATTCCTCAAGCGGGCTTGGGCTTCGGTGGTGATAAGAGCCACGACTTTCCAGCTTACTCGAGCTGCAGCACCGGTTATCTCACTCACCAGATCAAACTGATCTGTTTCCCATCTCCAACGCCGATTCGGTTCTTCCTTGAAAGTACTTTGGGGTTTCTACAATGGCAGTCGCTTCCACTTGAATCGCCGAGTTCACTCTCACCGTTGGGGCGAAGATGTCGATCAGGAAACCATGGCTGTCACGACACACACAGGCTATCGCCCCTTCCCCCGTTTCTTGTACGAAGGACCCATCCACGTTTATCTTGAGCACGTCGGGGGGTGGAGGCTTCCACGAGTGAGGTGAGTCCATTTCTCTGCTTTAGCTTACCTTGTGTTACGTTTACCCACCTTCTGATGCTTTGATTTCTCGACCAAAGAATATGTGATATAAAAAATCCGCAGGACTTCTTGTTCACTCTTAACGTATCCTTTTCCACTTTATTTCTTAGCGACCAAAACGCAGCATAAGAGTAGAACATTACGTGTTACCCTCGACAAAATCGACAGAGTACATGTCACATTCTTTAGCTATAATTCCAAAATCTGAGATCCGGAAACTGTAGATGACCATCTCACCTAGAAGCCGTTTTGACATCTTGACATCATCTGCTGTATACTTTGATATAATATCTAAGGTTCTAAACCAAGTTATTATGTAAAGTGAACTCAGCTAAAGCCAAGAGGTCGCTTCTGAGACATTTGACAACATTAAAATGAAATATCTAATTCTAAGTTCTTCAATAATAACCCCAGTTTGTTCGGGTAAGAGAAAAAACGAAAGTTGAGACGTTCAAAAGGAGAAACGAAAATGGTTGCTGCATTCAATTTTTAATTATTGTAGTGTTCCCGGTTGATCATATTTTCAATTTTGCAGTGCTTCAATACGTCTCGACCTAGATGAAGTACAAATCTCCTGATCTGTGGACTCACCAAATGATACAGATATAAGTTGTTGATCTGCACATAGTGTCGATATGATCGCAAATAATCAAGTCAGCGTCGAGGAACATGTGCTGGGGAGTATGTGATGCGGTTGCTCATTTCTTGCTTATCTAAAGTTCCAATTGGCCAAGCTCAAGAATTCAAATCCGATTTCAAAGAACTTGGTTTTCATTAAGTCCGGCGAGCTGCAAATGCCGCGGATCGAAATTTTATTGGTTGAAATCACAAACAAAGTAAAGAAGATATGATAGCTCTTCTTAAGAGCAAGAGCTTTTGCGTCACACTCAAAACACATTATTGTGTGTAAACCTAAATCATAGCGAAGAATTACAAACAATATTCTTTATGAGGAGGGCGTTGGAACACGTCCTATGCATAGGCCTGTGCGTTCTCTGAGAGGTACGACTCCACAACCTTGAATATGGCCATGGCCTTTTCCTTCCCAGCCTTGATCTCCTCTTCTTCCACTTGAAATGCCTCCTTGGCGTTGTACTTGCTCGTCATCCTGCAAACCGACCCTCCGTCGCTGGCGGCCTCAAACTTGACCTCGTAATCGATCGACTCGAGCTTGTCGCCCAGCGCGTCGCCCTCGATCATCGTGTACCTACACACAAAGTTCTCCTTGTCGAGCTCTTCAATCCGGTGCCTCACATACTTGAAATGACTAGCTGCATTTGTTACCGAACAAGAAATAAATTCACTAAACTCGTTACTAGAGGGGAGGATCCAAAAATATGGTGTATGAGAGTGTACGTACCTTCGGTGAAATTAACTTGCTCGATGCTCCCGGCTCCTCCGTCGCCTTGTACGAGCTCCACGCTCTTTATGAACTGAGGCAGGAGCTTCGGGATCAGGGCATTCGACTCGACGATCAAGGCCTTGAACATGCGAGCCGGAGCGATCGGACACGTGAGCTCCTGCGTGATGCTGGTGGCACCCATGGCTAAAGAAATAACCCCAGAGAAGTGATATGCTTCTGAGTTCCCGTTGGTGCCTCCTATTTATGGTTAGAATTATGTGAATAGGTAGGGTTGGTTTGGCAAGATTCACGTTTGGGGAAATAGAAGAGTCAAGGATTTGCAGCACAAAAGGAATGTAAAGAGTAATTAAGGTGGGTCTCTTTTGTTCTTTTGGTCAAGAAAATGACTTTGGTCCCTTTCAGATTCTAAGTTGAAATGTCAAAGATTATGTACCAAAAGATAAACACAAGGAGAGCACATTCTCATGCCCACATGGGCGGCCATCACTTGAATTGATTGAGTTTGATCTAACACCGGTTTGGCCTGACTACGTGACGTGCCGATCTCATATTATAACAAAATGCCCTAGTTTGAAGAAAAGGGCATTCATCGAATTTCGTTTAATACGTAGTAAACAAGAACACTTAATTGGTCGGTAATATCACATCGGTATGTTACAAGATATAAGCATCATGTAATATATCTCTTCGCACGCAACGCTCTGATGTCACGGTAGATCTGTTCCAATGCATCGAGTAAGGCCTTTCGAAATCATTTTCATGATAAAAAAACATCTCGTTAAGGTTGATTCAAACTTCACTAAAACCGGCGGTTTCACTGGGTCGAAATCGGGTCGGCGATGGGTGTCCCTCAGCCCATCATCTTAAGTGGGAGGTGGGGCTGCCGCCTTTCCGTTGTACCGTGCTTCTCTTTTTCTTTATTTATTATTATTGTTGTTGTTGAATCATTTGATCTCTAATCCAACGTCCCTATCGCTATCAAGAGATAAGATAGGATTAGCATCAGCTTAAACAGAGTATTTTAAAGCCCAAGTGTTACAATAAGATCAAGTCCAAACCCCAAACACACTCAACTATGTATTTTCGACAGCTTTCTTCGCATATTATAAGAATATACTTTTCGTTAATGATCTTACGTATTGCGGTTTATGAAAGATTGTGCCACATTGATAGCTTCGGATGTTAGTCCAAATTTGAAATATCGGGCCTAAGTTCGAGATTTTATTGGCCAATTGGCCTTTCATTTGTTACTTAAGAATTCTCTGGTTGTGTGAAAATTACTGAAATTAGATAATCCCACTATACCAACATTTGTTATTCACCATTCTTTTTCCCTGGACTCGCTAAATATGTGGCACAACTTACAAAGTTTCACTCCTCAAGAAAACCTCTGCACCATGATCCTGCCACAACATTTCATTCTCTTATTCACAGCAAAGACAAGAACAGCAGCACTCACCAACCCAACATTCTTAGACTCCAAACACACAGAGACTCGACTCTTCTTCCCTCATTTACCACAACCAGACATATTTAACACAGTACATGAACGATACAAGGTGGTGATGAGATTGACTCAGTAGGCATCAGGGTTTGCCACGAGGTAATCCTCGATGGCCTTGAACATCGCGGACGCCTTCTCTTTCCCGGCCTTGATCTTCTCCTCGGTGATGTCCACCTCGCCGATGGTGAAGTACTTGCTCGTGTTCTTGCACACCGAGCCACCCTCGGGTGACGCGGTGATCTTCGTCTCGTAGCTGATCTTCTCGAAGGTGGTGCCCAGCGCATCGCCCTCGATGATCGAGTAGCAGTAGACGAAGTTCTCCTTGTCCACGACCTCGACCTTGTGCTTCACTGTCTTGTACTGACTGCCTATGAAATAAGTAACATTCACATTTAGAACTCTGCCGGTTTCAACATCGCGAGCACTGATCTTGATGGTGTCGATCGGGCCATTTAGGAATTAACCCAATTGTTCCTACCGCAATCCAATACGATTGACTTAGACATGGCCTAATTTCGCTGATCGAAATCGAGTCGCGTGATCACTTGTGTAAAGTTAATGGTTAGAAACATCTTAATTAACCAAGTTATATTCCTATGTTTTTCCACGTTCATTATAATGTTCCATAAGGTTGAAACCATCCTTGGTTCAGAGCGATCCAAACATGGACAGACTAACCTTCGCCGAAAGTGATCAACTTGATGGTCCCGGGGCCTCCGTCGCCCTCGAGGACTTCGACGCTCTTGATGGCCTGCGGGAGGACCTTGGGGATGAGGTTATCGGCGTCGAGGACGGCGGCCTTGAACATCTTGGCCGGAGGGATCGAGGACGTGATCTCGGAGTCGTAAGTGATGACACCCATGATCGGATCCGAATCGAGCTGCTGAAACTGAGAAGTGGGGTGATCAGGAAAGACCGAGTAGTAGTGATGAAGTTGGTCTCTAGGACTTGGGAGTGAAGAGAAGAGGCTGAACTGAAGCTGACATATATAGAGAGAGAGAGACTAAGTCTGGAGGGTTCTGATCACTGGAAATTTTCTTCTCCCAGAACAAAAAGACAACCTCAATCAGTCGGTGCGGTGGGCTGTTCCAATCATGACATGGACTCTGTTCATAAAAATAAAAATATCTATATGATAATAGAATGTTAGTCCAAGAAGGCACCTTCCGAGAATGATACCAAAGGTTATTCCATTTCCCTTTCTTGTATTGACTTAGACTTCTTCTATCCAGGAGCATTTGCTGAGCAAATTCCTGGTTGAGCTTTTCACTGATTTCTTACATAGTCTTTATCATAGTAGAAAATCTCAAGCCCTTAGATGCATATGGTCGCGACCCACTAAGATTCCGTCCCACGCCGTCTCGATTCGTTCGTGAAAGTAGCGAAATTGAAGGTCGGCAAAGGCCTCGGGAAGAGTTATCGTCGATTTCGTACTCTTGAAAAATCAAGGCACTCTTTTTTCAAATTGGGTGGGACTTGGGTACTACATGTTTGTATTGAGCTTCCATCAATAAGAAAAAGTACTAATTGTTCTCAATGTTGTGCTAATGTAGTTTAGCAGAAAAAGATAGGAGGGGTAGTTTGGTACAAAAAAATATATGAGTGGGTTTTAAAGTTTCATACATTTGGTCAACAACGGCAGCTCAGAAAGTCAAAGATGGACGTCTATAGATTTTGATTTTTCCTATTGCTTTCACATGCCCTGTCCTTTTTGAATGATATTATTGCAAATCATTTTCTGCGAAATTATATTGGCGAAGGTGTCTGTGGATCAAGTGGCATTGGCTCACGGGTACCTTGCTACTTGACCATTTTTTAATGATTCCTTTGCCCTAATTCTTCTTGTCTAGATTACAAACCATGTGAAGTCATAGGAAAATGATCATGGTGTTGATCAAATTAATTAATGTATTTCATCCGCATCGTTTAAATTTTTTATTCATCTCACAAAGATTGTGTACGGTATTTTCTTATTTTGTTTTTCAATTGACAAAGGATTCAGAGCGCGTAATAACCGCATATATTTTTGGAGAAAAGCATCGGAGAAGGACACGGATGCATTGAACAGTGCTATATGTACAAAAATTAATCTGAATCGCTAAAT